GTAAATCAATCGACAGCTGGTCAAGAGGAATTTGCCGTCGTCTTTTGGCGGAACCGACCTTCGAATCTCCTCAACATACACTTTCACTCAAATTGGAAGTAAGCTCAACAATGACTTATTTTTGTCTGAAATTGCTAGATTATAATATTATTTATCTATCGTCCATCGACTAATTTGACCAATTCTCATCTGAAAAGATCATCGAATCATATTCCTGTACAAACTTGCATAGCTTTAATTGAAAGTTTGAGGGCGTTATAAAGTATTTCATTAACCGTATCCGAATGACACTTCCTCATAAGATTGCAGAATCGAGGAGTGATACCGTAATGTTTGCAACAATTCAAAAAAGGTCAAATGGCAGGATTGACTTACAATTGTCTTATCATAGTCCCCCACTTCCCCGTAGGATACATCTGCTATCTCTCTGGCTCAAGTATTTCACTCAACACCTGCAACTCTATATGTGCTACTCGAGGCGTTATTTCCCACACTCTACGTCTGGGAGACTATATTGAGGCCAAATAACCCAAGTAATTCTCATGATCAAGTCTGCTTCAAGGGCCACGTCTATGATCACATACCTCTACTATTAGCCAACTAGCTCTAGTCTCCGCCGCATCTATCGACCTTCTATATATATAATGCCAAGTCTATGATTTCCTATGGTCTCTTGTGTGCCAACCGACAAATGTTGTAGTTCTACTTGTTTTGATTAGGTCCAGTGTAAAACGACAACATTTATGGGTTGGTACACAAGAGACCAGGGCATAGAAAGTCATTAACTCGGTATTATGGATAAAAACAGGATAGACGCGGTGGAGACTATAGCTAGTTAATTAACAATAGATTTGCTACATGGACCACGTCTATGATCCATAATACCAAGTCAATAAGTTTATATGTCCTAGTCTTTTGTGTACCAATTCATATATCCTCTCGTTATACACTGGACCTAATCAAAACAAGTAGAACTACAACATTTATCGGTTGGCACACAAGAGACTAGGACATAGGAAGTCATAGACTTGGCAGTATAGATAGATCATAGACATGGCCCTTCATTCAGACTTGACCATGAGAATTACTCGAGTTCTTTAGCCTCAATATAGTCTCCCAGACGCAGAGTGTGGGAAATAACGCCTCGAGTAGCAAATATAAAGTTGCAGATGTCGAGTGAAATACTTGAGCCAGAGAGGTAGCAGATGTATCCTAGGGGAAAGAGGGAGACTCTGATAAGACCTATGGAAGGAGGACTGCCTAACAATATGGCAGACTCTGATCGACATTCCCAGCACAAGGGTTAAGGGTGATGAGAAATAGATAAAAAATCTTGATTTTGAAGGGGTCATACAAGGATATTGGAATGGTGATTAGCCCAGGACGAAAGGAGAGATACCACGATTGTTTATCAGACAGTCCGTCAAAGGATCGGCTTTACTTGTCTTTTTGGCGAGTTAAAGTGGGATGCTAAAACTTGCAATGCTCACTGACGATGCCGGCGAAACGTTTGGGTATGTACAACCTCCACGGTCCGACTGGAAATTATCATACATACTATGCACTCCGTACTATGTTCGTTCTTCTAGGTCCCTATGGTTTTCTAACATCTGCTACATGGTATAACTGATCTGAATTGCCGCGAAAAGCTTAAGCTAGATATCATCAAATGGAATTTTTAATGGAGAAAGCCTTCACTCCTTTTAGGTCCTCTGCGTCAGCACTCTGGTATATATCCTATAAGGTCAACCTTGGCAACGATAGCTATGCATTCATAGACTCATTTGCAGTCCAGATTGTTTTAAATCTCCTAGGAGCC